TAAAAATTGGCTTTAGCAGTTAGCTTGAGAACAAAAGTAGTAGTTTTTATTTTATTCTTACTAGCTTTGTGTTCCAAATAATTAATTTCCAGAAGAAATATAAGAGTGTGTTGAAAAGTGATTTTGGAATTAAATGAAAGCTGCTTCTTTCTAACAGACAAACCTGATTAAATCAGGTTGGTAGTTAGGTCAGTTCTGTTTTAATCCTTTCTTTGTAAATGTGAATGTTCCACCACAACTGACATATTAGGGAACACTTGCAATTACATCAATTTTTTATCATTATTTCATCTGTGAGAAACACTAGGTGAACAAAAAAAAGTGCACTCAGCTGAACCAAGCCAAATATTAATACACAAAAGGCTCAAATACACAGCTCGAACATGTACCATTAACCTCACTTCACTGCCTGTGCTATAAACCACACTCATACACATCTCCTATGACAATGTTCTATTCAATTTCCAAAAAGCTCTTCCTCCATCACTTCACAATAAATTTAAAAACTGCTCTGATGCCCAATACCACAAGTAAATTTCAGGATAAGTTTCCAAGGTAAAGTGCTATAGTTATTGTACTATTTATGTATTCCTCAACCATTTAGCACATGTAAAAATATATTATTATTTTTACTAAGTTCTTATCTTTACATGTTTTTGAGTACAGTGATCCTAACACCTTTCCCCCGATAAGTACTGTGATTTTTATTGTGCAGTTCTGCACAGCACAGCGATTTAGGCACATATGTCACATTATCGTAAAATTGACTGTGCATGGCTATATTAACCTAGACTTAAGCCCATTTTGCTAGACTAGTATCAGCAGAATTACCACATGTACCTTATAAATCTTACAGATTTCCAAAAGTAAATATATACTAACGTACGGTTTTTAAGAAAACTCAAAGCTACCCATCCAAAAACCTCAGTGAAATTATTCAGGGCTTCTACCTTAATTATTCATAATGCTTTTGATAATCCTTGAGCTCATTTGACCTTTCCTCAAATAACTTACCAATTTTTACAAAACTCAGGGATTGGTCAACTGAACATTGGACCAGTCACTATGATGCGCACTGACCACCAGGGGACAGATGCTCAACGCAGGAGCTTGCCCCCTGGTGGTCAGTGCACTTCCATAGCAGGAGCGCTGCTCAGCTGACCTATGGGCACCAGACACAGGGCTCACGGCTGAGGAGCGCAGGTGCAGCAAATTCAGCAGCAGCAGGCTCAGTGGGCTTAGATGAGCGTGAATGGCATGGTGCCTGACCCAGGTGGCTGACCCAGCTTGGACTCCTCCCCAGCCTCCTGCCGCTTCCCGCACTACTACATCCATTGGGGGAAGTCGGACTGCCAGTTTCAGCCCAATCCCGAGGAGTCCCAGATTGTGAGAAGGCACAGGCCAGGCTAAGGAACCCCACCAGTGCATGAATCTGTGCACCAGGCCTCTATTATGTCACTGAAATCTGGGAATGATGGAATACAAGTACAAAGGATGGATATTATATAGCTCTCTTAGCATGAGCTTGCTTAGATAATTGTGAAATAGTCTTAGTTTATTTTATTGGAAGGAAACAAGACAACATTTTTAGGGCATTTCAAAGAAAACCAAGCACTGCCATTATTCACTGAGTTCTAATTTTCAGAGCTAGAAATACCAGACTGCTGACTTTTTTCATAAATGTTTTGCTCATTTATATGTATATTACCCTAAAGTTTACAAGTTTCTTCTATTGAATAGTGTTAGTATGTATGTATATAACACACACACACACATATATATATATATATATATACACATTTATACACACACATATAACTTAATAGTCAATCTAAATATTGAGTGCTACAAAACACAGGCATTATTTATCAGCATTTTAATTCTATTACTTGAAAAATTCTTGAAATATTAAATCTTCATTACTCATTTATCCTTCCTTCAATGTTATTATTACCACGTATTTTCATAGATTTTAGCATCTTAAAAATATGTCATAAATTACCTAGATACTCTTAATAAATAAATATCTTGGGAATAAAGAGAGTCAATCATTAGTTTATACATAAAGGTAACTGAGATTACTTTAACATAGAATGTCAGAGTTAAAAACTGAGGTCTGAATAATGAATATCATTTAAAAATTTGGCCTATAAAAGTTACCTTTTATAATTTTAGAAATGCCTTGGAGAAAATATTATGCTTTAATATTTATTTTCTTCAAAGTTTCTTCAAATTTTTATCAATAAATGTAGAAAAACATAGTTACAAGGTTGTGAGCGCAATCTCTGGATGCAGGAGGCAGCTGACAGATGTTTTGCTCTGACACTGATGTTTCTCTCTCCCTCTCCCTTTCTCTCTCTCTAAAATTCAATTCAAAAAAATTTTTTTAAAAACCACACACGACAATTTCATTCTTACTGCTCTAGCCATTTTTTGTTTCTCACTTCCTACATCCAATCCAACAAACAAATTCCATTTGCTCTACCTTCGAATGTATTCATAATCTAGACATTTCTCAGCCTTCCCACTATTACCATCATGGCCCAAGTTTTATTATCTCTTCTCCATATCATTGTAATAGCATTCCAATTGGTCTCTGAACTCCCATTCTTGCATCCCTATTCTCAATATAGAAGCCAGTGGCTCGCTATCTCACAGAATAAAAGCCAAAGCCCTCATGATGATCTATTTACAAAGCCTTCATCTGCTCAATGAAGTCATCTCCTACTACTCTTCTTTTGTTGATTCCACTCCAGCCTCCCTGGTACCTATGCTGCTCCTAAAACATTCCAAGCATATGTCTCCTTTACACTTGCTGTTCCCCTGAGTGGAAATCCTCACCCCAGGTATCCACATGCCTGACTTCCATACTTTTATCAGGTCTTGACTCAAATGTCACTTAACAGAGAGGCATTCTTTGGTCAGCTTAGCTAAAATTATTCTTCCTCAATGCTTCCTATTTCCTTTTTTTCTTTGTACTTATCTCCAACTAGCACAGTATACAGTATATTTTACTTATTACTCTTGCTTACTGTCTATCATTCCTCAATAGAATGTAAGCTTCACAAGGGGAGAAAGCTTTGTATATATTATATTTTGTTCACTCTTGTGTCTCAAAGTGCCTAGAACTGCATCTGGCACATAGTTGTCACTCAATGACTATTTGCTGCATAAACAAATGAATTTTTTTAAAAAATTAAAAATCAATGAAAGCCACACAATGTAACACAATAAATAATAACATGTACTGTGAAAAGTCATTAATAATCTATCTTCCTAATTATGTAAGAATCTTCTAAAGACAGAAATGTTACACCTCTTTTCACTTAGGGACTGGCATAGAATGTTACATATACAGCAATTATTCAATTCAATATTTGACAGCATGAAATTTTGCTAAAAGACAAATCACTAGGAGATAAAAATAGAATAGAATAATGTTCTAATTCAACATAAGATTGGCATGTAAGAAAAAAAAGGCTCTAAAAGTAGTCTTTTCCTCTCTAATATTTATGAGCAATAGCTTTCAGTGCTAATTTAGAATATCCACTCCAAAAATGATCACGGTCTGCCATGAATCAAGATGTTTTGTCTAGGACAGAAAGTGGAGGATTGGCTCTGGACTAAGCCTCATCTTAGTTTGTCATTGGGACTAGTGCGTGGAATGTTGAAGATATTTAACAATTTATGATATAGTTCTCTCTTCTTTAAAATTATACCAATTCTTTCGACTATGAATATATATTCTTTGTGGGTTAAAGCTTGTCAAAGGTTTCTAGAGTGACAATGATAGTCATCAACATAATAACATTGTGAATAATAGCAAAGGAACTGAAAGAAGGTGACCTTGAAGCAGTCCAAGTTACATAGAACACATACAAGAAATACAAACATGCTATAATATGGTTACACCCAGACAGGTTTGCAATACAATTTATGCCAATACCAAACTGGATTCAACACATGCTAAAGAAGTACGATGTAAATAAAATAAGAGGAAAATCTGATTTCTCTAAGTGTGATTCCTTGGACAAAAGTGTTTGCTAATCTAAATAATTTCTAGAAAGGCAACAACTGTTACAGGATAAAAAGATAAATAAAATATTCAAATTCTGACCAAGAATTCTGAGTTCCAATTAAATTATGAAGAGAAATGAAGAAAAACAAACAAGAAAAACCAAACCCTGATATTCAAAAACACATATTCACCAACATATAGACAATAAATAGTTCTGACTTATCTACCTAGCAAATGTCTGTGATTAAATGTCTAAGTTCACTAAGCAAATAATAACACCAATGATATAAAGCACTTTTTACTATTCTAATCCTTTCATTATTTTATTTAATTTTAATTATGTTCCCTTAAAATTACCTGACCTAAATATTTATATATCCACTGGCAATCACGCAAATATGAAACAATACATTTGGTAGGAAACCAGGAAAGAGCTGCTTTGATACTGCTTTGACAATTTCTTTAGGGTATAACAACTCACATGTTGTTGTTTTTTTCCTTTCTTCTGTCACCCCTTTAACCATAGTCCCGAATATAACTTACATGAGATACGTAAAATTAGCTCAGCTATAGTAGCCTGATCTGACATTACATTACATAAGGTGGAATCAGTAGCTTGAACAGGACACAAACCACTTAATAGTAAGTTTCCATACAATACTAGCTACCCAGTTAATCCCAGTACTTCAACAAGATCACCTAATGGTCTTCCAAAATTTAAAGCCAAGCAGTAAACTCAGAAACAACTTGTCGAGGGCTGTACAGCAAACTTACAAAGCTTAGATAAATGTTATCTCTGTAAAAATAACTTTGCTGCCACTTGGTTTCAAAGAATAAAACTTTCTAATGACTTCTAACTCTTGGTTAACATATCGATGTGCTTCCTTAATGGAAAATACAGGATGTTTTGTTTTATTGTAACACTCAACAACAAACCCATAAATTACCAGATAAAAGCTAGCAATTTATTTTATTAGCTTACCCAGTTTAGTGGTGCCCTCTGGTGGGTACTCAGGAAACTGACCCTCGGAAGGGACACTGACAGTTCTTCTCAGGCATCTCCCTTTGGTGGAATCGGCCTGCTGCTCCTGACCTCCCTCCGTGGGTATCTAAGTTAACCAAAAGAAAAAGAGATGAAACTTAATAGTGAGTTTGCCATAACAACTTTCCAACTGAATAATGTTTTCAGTTAATAAAGACAGGAGTTTGTAATCATCAGAGCAAAGTAGAAGAAATATAGGAATAAAGTATACACAATGGTAAAGTTTTACCAACCCCTTTTCAGGAAGCTTTTCTTTAAAAAGAAAACCAAAAGATCAGGAAAGGTGAGTATGTAAATTAGCTTAGTTGAAGTATGTACAAATCTTATCCAGGTGTGCATCTGTTTTGGGAGTTCAGGAAACAAAACAAAACACCCACACAAATAAAAGATTCTTTTACATAAGACACTTGCTCACAAGTTCCAATTCTGCCCAATGCTCAATAAGGTAAATGGAAATAAAAGTCAACCAGAAAGATTTAGCTACGACATTCTCTTAAAAGGAGGTTTTGCTAGATAAAAGTAGTAAAATGACCCAACTTTTCTTTAATTCTGGGATGAAGCACTTGTCTATATATATAAAAGGCTATGTCCCCTTGGGAGTTTGACAGGGAGACCAGGAATTCGATGGCTCGCTATGATGTGCACTGGCCACTAGGGGGTGGTGCGAAGTGAAGGAAGGCCCCAGGCAGCAGCCAGAAGGCTCCAATTGGCCCTGATCTCCAGTCAGGCCTAGGGACCCAACCCATGGCTGAATTTCATGCACCTAGCCTCTAGTAGTTAATAAAATACATTTTCAGTGAGATTTTGCTAGTAATCTTTATCAAAATTAAGATAACATCTATTTTGGTAACATCTTAGTTTGGCAAAATATACCAGTAATTAATCATAGTTTCTTATTTCTTATGGCTCTCACATTGAAATTTCAACAATTTCAATAATGATGACTAGCACTGAGTTCTTACTATGTGCAGGGCATAAGTGACATTATGAGGGAGCCACTATTAACCCTCTTTTACAGATGGGGAATAATTTTATTTTTACAAACGACTGCAGTGAATACATATCACATCAATTGATCTAGAAAAACTGGAATACACACAGGCTTGCATGTACATGTCTTCAACTTTGCCTCAGTAATCTAACTCCTATGACTGGGGTCAAGTGGGTAATAGTAAGGGAAACTCTCTGTGCCACTGAGAATCTGAAGAGCAAAGTCCTCATGTCTTTATAATGGACTGAAAATTTTCACACTTTTTATAGGACCAAAAATTCACCATTTCCTCATTACCATAACTATGCTTACATTACTTGCACACTGAGAAATCAAGAAGCAGAATTAACAATGGTAACATTCTAAAAAACAACAACAACAAGGGGAAACCAAATAATAGTATCAATAAGGAGATGAACTATTCCCAAAGCACTCTGTAATATAAAACTTTACAAATGGTAATCCAAGTCATCCAGCCCTTTCAGGATGAAAATTATATTATCTCTAATTAAATAATTAAAAGAGTAGTAGAGAGAGGTTAAATAGCTCTCATCTAGTAAGAGGCAAAAATGTAACCTCCTCCTGCCTTCAAAGTAGAAAGGAACAGAGGTAAATATAAGTAGAATGGGAAGTTCGTATCTCTGAACAAACAGAAGAACCTAAATAAACAACCATTTTCCTCCAAGTTCTAAAAGCACCTATTATCTGAAATAATGAAAGTTCAAGCAATAAGGAAAAAAGTCAGTAATTTTTTATATTATAGGAGAAAATGACCTATGATCTTTTCCTGTAAAAATGAATAAAGACTACATTTGGGGGGAAAATAAGAAATGGCCTCTATTATAATATACTTTACCTCTACTATGTCCAAGGAGAAGATACATAAAATATATAAAACTTATTTGGGCCTAAATTTCACTCACAATTATTTTCTCAGTTTTCATGTAGACTCTTCATTTCCCACTATTGTAATTTAAAATCTAATAAAAGGTTTCATTCAAAGTATCACCTACTATTGGGGTATCCTATCTCTTACTTGGGATATATGGTAGAATAGTGTTGACTTTTATTCTAAACCTGCACTTCTTATGAATCTTTTACAACGTTATAGATTGATCCCTATGTAAAATATTTTTACAATATATTGATCTACTTGAAAATTAGAGGGATCATATTTCAAGTATTTTCAAACTAAGTTGGAGTTCACCAATCTTTGTACACATCCTAAAAAAAGAAGGATACCAAATCAGAGAATCAGTTTTAGAAAGTCAATTTTAGAAAAGCTATGTTGTCCATTCTAACTGCCCTAATTTAGTTTACTAGTTTAATTTTTTAAAAGATTTTTTATTGATTTTTAGAGGGAGGGAAAGAGAGAGAAAAACATCAATGTGAGAGCAGAACATTAATTTGCTACCTGCTACATGCCCACTACCAGGGATGGAGCCTGCAACCTGGACATGTACTCTGGCCAGGAATTGAACTGGCAACCTTTTGGTGCATAGGACAACACCTAACCAACTAAGCAATACCAGCCAGGATATTTACTAGTATACATTTATTGTTTATATTGAATTAGTCTTTAAAATTTGTATATCTTCCAGGTTCTATAACATGAGAGGAATTCTTTTTAACCTCCTTGGCCTTATACTGTGCCCCCAAGTCTAATTTTTCCTCAGGAAAAAAATAAAATCAAGTGTTTTAATGAATTTAATTCATTTGCAGATGAGGCGAATGGAACACAGTAAGGAGTATATGGCTTCTCATGGATCTAAGATATGCTAATAACAAAGTTGAACGTAATTTCTGAATCCTGATCCTGTCAGTTCCAAACCATCCATGACAAAGAAGGAGCAATATGCACAAGTAAATTTACTTACAAATACTATTTATATACATACACCTCATATTTTCTACAAATTGTCTTTCATTTTTTTAGAATTATACATAAAATAACTTCAATTTCAATCTGTGTACATGCAGATTAAATAGTCAAGTAAAGGAAACCAAGTTTATGCTAACTATCAAAAGAAAATGCTCTGTAATTTTTTCTCTAAAGATGTTTAAGTGATGTGCAAGTCTACTGTATCCTGACACAGTGGATGTATGTTATGGGTAAAAGCAGCCTTCTGTTTCAGCCAGGGCATAATTCTGAACTATTTGCTATATAAGGCTTCTCATAAGCTTTTCTACAAAAAACAAACAAGCAAGCAAACAAACAAATAAAAAAAACACAAAAAAATTCTTCTGCTAAAAGTATCAGCTTCAGATTTCACATTATCTGGAAACACCAAATTGCTTGCATTTCCCTAATAGAGTCCCTATTGTGTAGTTCAGTGCCTTTGCTTGGTCTGTTGTCTCAGCTTGAAATATTTCCCCCCATTTTCTTTTCTCTTCTTTACCTACCAGGTAAAGCTATTCATCCTAAGGCACAGGACATGCATGGCCTCTCCCAGGACTCTTCCCTTTCACCAACTCCCTAAGGAGGGGATTCAGTTACATCTTCCTGAGGTTCCTCCAAAAACAGATTTTTCTGTCATTCTACTGACTACATTGAATTATAATTATTCCTTTGAGCAACTAATTCCATGTAGGTTAACAGCTTGTATTTTACCAATCAATCCCCAAATCTTAAAATAGCTCCAACACACAAATGAATGAATGAATATTTAATAGGTAAAGAGGCTGGCCACTGTAGGCAAAGAAAAAAGTCATAACATCAGCAAAGAAGTTGGTAAGCATATGACTTTTTTATTTTGTTTTGCCAATTTAATTAGAGTATCTTCAAGGGGAGAAATGGGGTAGAACACCAAAATATATTATGACCGAATTGGGAGGGCATTAATACCAGACCATGCATAATTCAGGAAGCACTGGGAAAGGTTTCAAGTTTTTAAATTAGAGAAATGGTAGTCTCTTAATTGGTCTCTCTCTTTCCTCTCTCTCCCTCTTACAATACATCCTATAGATTAATATTCATAACACAGCCCAGCTGGTGTAGATCAGTGGTTGAGCACTGACCCATAAACTAGGAGGTCATGGTTCAATTCCTGGTCAGGGCACATATGTGGGTTGCAGACTTGATTCCCAGTAGGGGCATGCAGGAGGCAGTGGATACATGATTTAATTTCTTATAGATGTTTCTGTATCTCCCTCTCCCTTTCCCTATATCTGAAATCAATAGAAACGTATTTAAAACATATTCATAATGCATAACTTTGATCAAATCCCTTTCTTTCTTAAATTTCCTTTGGTAACTGCCCATTACCAACAGCATCTTCCAGTACCCCAAAGTGTTGTAAGCATACCCCTAGGGGTAGAGGAAGAGTTTGGTGGGGGTACGCGTTGCACCCGAGTTTGGTGGGGATATGCACTGCACCGTGCTTAGCTGCGCCTAATTCTACATTATCATGAGTACGAGGGGTACTCAGCATTACAAAAATTATAGAAGGGTATACATATGTCAACAGTTTGGGAATTACCCTCGTCATAGACTATAGTCCTTTAGAATAAATGGATTTCTTTATTTTATTTTATCCAGTTTATTTGTGATATTTCTCAAATGCCATTTTAAAATTATTTGTCTTATTTCCACAACTAAATTTGGTATGTGGGGCAGAGAGGAGAGAACTGTGTCATATTCTTTAAAACTCCTAACACATGAATTTTCCACATGATCAACAGGGTCACATTATGTATCTGCTGAATAATCTGAAAGTTGTTCTGAATGAAATGTGCCATGGGTAACAGCCGACTTTTGGCTGTTTGTGTAAAAGCCTAATTGCTATTTTCATTAATATAGCTGAGTATAAATACTGCTTTCCCAAAGCAAGAAAAATTTTTTTATCTTATAATTACATTATCACCCTGCTTCCTGTGCACTAGTATCCTGCTTTAAAAATCCCACCTACAAAAAGTAGACCCTGAAAGAAGAAAAATGGAGCCATGTTAATTCTTCCTAATGACTTGTTATTGCCAAAGGAACTCAACAAATTTTGAGTTGTTTTGTTTGTTTGTTTGTTTGTTTGTTTGTTTAGGAGTTCCTTAATGGGAAACTCAGTATTTTTATACTGGATACA